CGGAATCGTATTTACAGCTTATCAATGAATTTGTTGAACAGCGAAACGCGCGAATGCAACAGACGTTGGGGAAGAGCAGGCAGTTTACTGTCGAGGAAGTACAAGCGTACAGCCCCTTTGAGACGAATGACGTGTCAGTCGAAGAGCTCAAGGCCTCCGTTAACCTGGAAGGCGAAGATCCTCAAGATGTGTTGCAGTTTGTCAATGTTGTACCTGTTATTGAGCTACCGGAGGAACAGCCCGCATTGGACGAGCCGATGGATGACGTTGCGACAGCCGACGTAAAAGTCGAGCCGAAGGTTGAGGAAACCGACGCGGACGTTGAGATGCCCGATAGCTATACAGGCGCAACCGACGAAGTACCTGGACCTGATACTGGTATCGCAGGCGTAAATGCCTTGCCGACAGCACCAGAACCTGATCCACAGATGGCGAAGATCGAGGCCGAGGTTCTTGATGTTTTGGCTGATGATGAAACGACTGTTGAAGAAGGTGCAACCGGAGATGTTCCTATGATCCCTACGGACGCGGACCAACCCGCAGAGGGTCAAGCGTCTTCATCTGACCCGAGACCACCATTGCCGCGATTGCGAGGCAAAGGGCAGGGACAAGGCACCCCTTCGGCCGCTCCCGTAACGGGGAGCTTTCTTGCACCTGAGAACAACGACAACCCCGACTTGAAATTTTCTGGAAAAGGGAAGGGCGTTCTCGTTCGCGAGACGAAGCCTAACCCCGAGTACAAAAATATGCAGGTCGAGGTTGAAGAGGTTCTCGGAAGGTATCCTTACCCGGATCACCTACTCAAGGCCATCGGGAATGGCAACATCCAACTCCTCGAGGATGAGCTGGGCCGCGACGCCAAGCAGTACGTGCTGTACCACGTTACTGGCCATAGGTACTATTATGTATATGAGGATTATCGTCATGGGCCTTGGGAGTGGTGCTGCTCCTGGCCACCTCATGTTCGTCGCGGTATTTCTGGTCTTCTTCGTGGACACGTCCCAGACGTCAGTATTTATGATCCGGCGTGTTATTTGCCAATTTACAAACTACTAGATTTGGCGAAGGCCAAATTCCCTGATTACGCTGGTTCTATGAATGTTTTTGAGTTGATTTCGATGGCTATTTATGACCACAAAGATCGTTTCGAATTTCAATGCGTGTACGACTCTCGTGTGAACGAGCAGCTCGAACTTTTCGCCGCCCCCGTCAAGATCCGATGTGGACAAGGCCACACTGACGACGTTCTCGAGACGCGATCAAATGAAGTGCTAGCAGTACTAATCTACTGCCGTCCTGACCATGTACACAGGTACAATGCTCGTTTGACAGCGCACGGGAACTGCGATATACCACCTCGGCTTTACCACCGAACGCATGAAGGTGCTGCGCGATCCATTATTGCGAGCGGGCTCATTCCCGGCGGTGGAGCCGGTGGACCGAAAAGCAAAGGCAATTCCTTCTTTTCAACACAACCTCTGGGAAACCAGAAGGCGATATCTGGTGTTCGTGCTGACCGACCAGTGGAGATTTGTTTTTCAACACCGGATGTGATTGAAGCAGGAGTTGATCTTTTCCTCACAAATTCTGGCGCGGTGATTACCAGCCATCACGTCCCGAATACGTGTATTCTATTTGCAACTCGAGCCCGCGCAAATGCGGAGCCAGAAGTTTTCTATTCGAGGCCGCAGGCATTGGATCCTTCGAACATTGAGGTCGGTGTTCCGCAAGATGATGTGACATTGGTCCCGGGAAAAGTGTCGGAAGTACGCACCATTTTGGAAGGTACAAGCGACGCCACTCCCGAAGAACGCACAGCTAGCAGCAGTGCCGCAAAGAAGGAAGAGATGGAGGCAAATCGCAATACAGCTGTACCACAGATCGAGAGTGGATATTTTCTACATCTTCGAACTTTCAGCTGCGATAAATGTACGACACTTTCCTTAGCAGGAATGGCATCTTGTCATCGATGCGGAGTAGTATTTCAGAGCAATACAACAGATGGACCGATCTCAAAGTTTATGCGACTTCAGATGAGGCGTGCAAAGGTGCTACAAGAGCAGGGGGGGCGTGCCCAAGAACATGACCGCAACAAGCATGCTTGACAGCATTGCCGCGCAGGACCTACAGTCTGGACGACCTCCAGCTCGTGGTAGCCCGTCAGTTGACAGTCAGATTATTCTTGCAGCTCGCGGCCGCCTTCGCAAAGCATTGAAATCAGGGTATGAGAATGTATTCGATCGATTCAACCGCGACGACGTCTTCGCTACCTCCTTAACCGGAGAAGGATGCACAGCGTTTGATGCAGCGCAAGAAGACTTGTTTGCGTCACTGCAATTACCGGCACCCACGAGATCAGCGAAGCAGAGATCAAAAGGGAAGTCGGTTGTCAGTGATTTGGATCGACTGGACAGGGTTGACCTCGCCAAGCTCGCGTATATTCGATGCGGTGTTGACAACCTACATACCTGTTTCAAGCAAGGCGTCGACGAGAACTTTCTGATCAGTTATCGCCGAGAGTTTATGTCACTCCGACAATACGCCGCCGTAATTGGCGATAGCCGAGATGAGATCAAGATCCAGGGCTTTATCCCCACGACGGACGTCTATGGCGATATTCATTCAATTCGTATTCCTCGTGGAGACACGACAGGCATTTACAAGATTTTGAGTGAGTTTGCAGAGCAGAATGAAAATTATGCAAACATTCAATATCAGAGGAACGCGCAACAGTCTGCAAGTGTGCAGGGACGCGATCGTGGACAGCCAGTTTCACAGATGGGCTTCATGAACATCGAACAGCGCATGGCCACGCCTTATCCCAAGTTTGCCGATTGTGGCCAGGACATGTCGTCTGACGAGATTCGACGGCTTGAAGAGATCTTGCTTGAGTTTGGGCAGCGTGGAGCACCATCTCCTCAAGGACCTGTAACAAGGCCCCCGTTGACGCGGAAGCGATCGCAGATGTACATGGAGACTATTGGAGATGTAGACAAACGAAGACCGAGATCAATCTGGTCGTATTGCAACTTGGGTTGACAACCGGACTCCACCGCCAGGCGTGCCTCAGCCGCCAGCTCCCGTAACAGGGACGCATACCTCGTCGGTATTCCGTATGAATGCACCTCCTGCTCAAGGACAAGTTTCAGGAAAGGGTGACTCCTCTAAACAGGATGTCGGTGAACGGAGAGATGTTTCTGGAAAGGGCAAGGGCCAAGGCAGTTCTTCGGCAGCAGGCTCAGCCGCTCCCGCAAAAGGGACGCCGCGTGGTTCTGTCGCCCGAGCAATTTCCCAGAGCCGTGTCCTTCCACCTAAACGTGGCAACATCCCCAAGAACCTCTTGGGTCCCCCAACTTCACCGCCACCGTTAACTGCACCCAACAACCCACCTGCAACTGGCCTTTCACCAATCTCCAAGCCACGTCCAGCCAAACCTTCACCTCCGAAGGTCCCACCACCAAAGGTGCCTCCTCCAAAGGTTCCTCCACCGAAAGTGCCGCCCAATACAGCCAGTGGCATTCCGGTACATACAAGGCCGACAGATTTCAATCTCACGCCGAAGCCGCCGCCGCTTACAGACCTTTACAGTCGGTTGCAACCTTCCGTAAAAGGAAAGGGCAAGGATAAGCAGCAGGTGAGTGTTCGAGGAGGACCTTATGCTCCACAGCAATGGAATGTACAAAACGTGCCACCGCCGCCATTGCCACCCGGAACTTCATCCGCTTCGGCATCATCGCCACATAATGCACCCTTAACTGGGCCGCTGACTTCCAGCATTCGTGGAACTATTGATCGACCATTGGAACCCTTTGATTTTCCTGGAGTACAATGGCAACGCGATGACCCATGGGGCGAGAACTATTGGCCCAATCACATGGAATTGTGGGAGTGGTTGAGGCAGGGATGGCATGACGAGACGGAGCGTTTTGGAATACAATTTCTTTAAGCAGATGTTGAATAGCTACCATAAATGGTATGCCTCGCAGTTTATGAGTGTTGAGATAAAGATCACCTTCTGACGCGCTGTGAGATGATGTTTCACTTCATTGTCTCACTTCCCAATGCATCCATAACAGGATTGCCATAGTCGGAGAGTGAACTTTTAATCAATGCTTAACACTAACCTGGGCCTAGCATGTTTAACCACATGCCGAGTGAGGCAAAACTGTACATTAGGGTAGCTACGTTCTCCTTGTATAGTGCATGCACGAGCTTGATGAGGGATTTCTAATATGATTCCTTCGTCGCTAGAATTTGATCCTCCCCGAGATTTTCCCTACGGGTAGCTCCTTGTAAAGGGGGGTGTTGAAATTCACCTCATCCCCATGGACCCCGTAGCGTTGGCTCAAGGTAGAGCAAAAGGTAGCGCTTACCGGGCTAGCAGGGTTAGCTAGGTAGTTAGTACTATTAGAGCTGATCCTGTAAAATACAGATGGCAAACAACACTGTTTTTTACACACTGCGATAAGGTTCGTTCAGAAAGATAATCCACAAGTGCACGGCCCTTGTCTCGATGGAACGGTAAGGTGAAGAGTCTGTTCACTTGTAGGTTTTTGAACAAAGCGGCAAAGCGGCAAAGCGGCAACAACACAGCGCGGCTGCTCGCAAGGATAGTGGAAAGGTTTAAGGGGAAGAAACATGAACCACCATGGAAGCAAAAACACACAGAGCGAAAGGGTGGACCAGTGGAGTCATTGTGTTCGAAGCAGGTACACAGATTGGCGTCCACGGAAAGTCCACAGCTGTTTTCGTTGGCAGCAGAACTGTGGATTCCCTGCTGCCCCCTGCTGCAGGGAATGTGGTCACAGAAAGACCCTTGGATGCAGGGTGGGACACACACGCACACACGCACACACATGGATGGCATATGAATGCATGCTAGAGAAGTTGATTGAAGTCTTGCTTGGCTACGTGTTTTCTTTGGTTATTTTGGTTTCGAGTCAATGGTGGCTTGTGTAGTGTGCAGGCTAGTGACTCTGGATGACTCTGGACCTCGGCAGGAGGGCTCCCGCCCCAAAAGCCCTCCGCTGCCGGATGACTTGCCGCCCGGCTGGGCGGCTGCACTGGATGACCGCCCAGAGGCAGACCGGACCATGGACGCATGAATTCCGTCCATTTTCTAGGTTTGTTGGTGTGCCATTCCCAACTGGGGAACTCGGTGCACGGCTTGTGTTGCCTGAGCCCCCCCCCACGACTTCACGTGTGCAATTTGGCGAGTGCTTGCAGTCATTTACGGGCATCCGCCAATCTGCAAGTTGATTGGTGCCAAAGATGTGCTACGATTCTTCTCCCTCCCCAAAAAATTGTAGCACATGACTTCAAAAAAGCAATACATCACAAAAACGGAGTCTTCACCATGGCATAATCCCGCGGTCCAACTACATGTAACTTGTTATATACACAGATCCGCACGTCAGGTTCTGGTACCTGCTGATAGGGAAGTGGAAGTCAATCAGTTTGTCCTCGCTCGCCCTTGCCGGGGCCGGGGCAGGTGAATCGCTACTACTTTTATAGAACAGCGAAGCCAGAGATACGGACGTGGTTCAAGCCCTTTCCTGATGCAGAGGAGGAAGAGGCCTGTGTTGCGTCAGGGATAACACAGGAAGGGCCAGGGGTGGCGCACATAGAGGCATAGAGCCTCGACAAAGGGTTTTCTTCTCTCCACAATGCAAATTCCTAGAAACATATCAGCTGGCAAATGTGCTCCCCTCAAGCAATGCCTTCGGTCCATGGGTTTTGTTAGCCACGACTTACATCGTTCCTGGAGGTTCGTCACCGGGTAGGAACTTGTGAAGCATCCAAAGACGCTGCCAAAGTCCTTCGATCGTTCTGATTCTGATGCAGAATCCTTTTTGCGGCTGAGCGGCATAGAATGAATATGATATGAATTGAGTGGTTTAAGTAGAAAATGGTTTGATAGACGGCCCAAATGACTGGAATTTGAAGATTTAAGGTCTTCGTGTGCCGAGTAGAGCTGCAGGAGATCGTGGAGGAACATATCCAGCAGATCGAGAGTCGCCTCCTAGACATGGAGGGGGTTAACTTCCAAAAGGCGCCGGGGTCGGGGAGGGTGGACAATTTGGCACTGCCGAAGTGTTCGCAGTCGCCGAAACTCACGCGCAGAATTTCAATTGCCTTTCCCAACGCAATCTGCCAGGGCGTGTCCTTTAGAAGCCGGGGCCTCGGGAGAACGGGTGCTTGTGTGAATGTGCCCGGCCGCAGAGCCGCACGCGGGCTTTGAGAACTCGACTTTGTCATCGCTAGCCTGGCAATCCGCCTGCCAAAATTGCCCAAATGGTGTGCGCAGGAATGCAGCAAATTATTAATGAAGAGATTTTGTTGAGAGTTCGCAAGTCCACCGAGTGGCACTGGCATGCTTCGCTCCCTGCCCAAGGAAGTTTGGAGGCAGATGTATCACATGTACATGCAAGTATGTATGTACTATATAACATTATATATAAACGCACACTGTAATTGCCGTCAACGGTTTGCTCGGACCCTTTCATGCTGCCAGAACTCTAAGCCCGATGCTGTGCTCAGTGGGCTTTCAAATGAACTAGTAGCTTTTTGTTACTAGTAGCATGGCCTCCAACCTACTTGCGATGGCCTCCACCTAATAGCGTCCTAAGGAGGAGACTTGGACTTCAAGTTCGCAATTCAGCTGCTGAGATCGGAACCTCGAGTGTCTCAGATGCCAAGGGCCAGTGTGGGAGAGAAGATGTGGGTGGGTACAGAGGTGCCAGGTTCTGACGCAATCACGGAAAGCGCATTATAGTGTCACAGTGGATCCGACCTGCTTGTGACAATTGAGGGGTGCTAGGGAAGATCTCTAGAGCCTGCTTGGGTGCTGGCATATCTCAAGATTTGGCCCCTGCGCACGGGAACGTCACCATGAAGGGTGGCACAAATGCATCCTGAGGTTGTTTCATTCAAGGGATTTGGGCCAGGGAGGGCTTGGGGTTGATTTCTCCTCAGGAACTGGGCAAAAAGAAGCTGACAGAAGAACTCCTCCAGGAGCGGTGTCTCTCTCTCTCTCTCTCTCTGTCTGTGAGCCCAAGGAACAAGGGCATTATATTACTAACTATGCTTCAGTATGCACTTACATCAGGACAGGACACCAGTGATACTGCCCCAATGAAGAGGCTACCACTTGGTGCTGATATGATCGGACGCCGGGACGACATACCTGCGAAGATGATCTCCGGAACCCGGGTTCCTTCGAACCGATTAAGTACGGGGACTCCAAAACAAGATGAACCTGGACTGGGTTGCAATCCCTTCCCTGCGAACAGTCTGAATAGATATAAAGAAGATCAAAACAAAACAGCCAAAATATCCCTGTTCCAATCCCAGACAAGGACACAAACGACGGCAGCGCGATGACGACAGCAGCAACAGCAACAACAGGCTTGAGAAGTGAGAGGCCTCCTTTGCAGAAACCCGCTCCTGTAGAAAACTCCAGTGCAGGACCCCCGCTAGATGCAGTTTAAAGGTTTCCATTCCGCTTTCATCTTCGTCCTGCAATGCACCCAATGGTTTGTTTGGGATGCATATCAAGCCTATGATCAACCTGCTGCAACAGGAGTTTCAAGTTAAACAGTTTAACCTGCTCGTGCAATCTCCTTTTCCCGGCGCGCTAAGCACGACATTGGTGCCAGGACGTCTTGAAGAGCAACGATGGCCTTATAGAGGAATCGGAAATCACGGTGCACCTGACGAAACGGGTGGCTCGCTTGAAATGGTGTCCTCTCAAGAATACAGAAATGAGTGGAGGAAGGTGCGAACCGGACCGACCTAACCGATTTGTGAAATTAGAAATGGAGAATGTGTTGAGAAATTCGGTGAGACCCCTTGGCACGTGATCTGCCAAGTAGCTGGGTTGTCGACAGAGGCAGTACGACTCAAGTTGCCACACACACACACATGATGAGACAAACAGGGGGCTCTTTAAGCCAATTCTTGGCAACAACTTGCGCCACCAAATTTCTGTTGGAAGCCATGAGGGTATCGAGGATAGAGTTTGTTTCCTCACGCCGTTTCGCTGGATAAAATATCCTCTCAGGATTAGGTGTGGCTTGATACTTGGCTGGGCATTCGGCTTTTGCTTCGGAAGGCTTGTTTGTTCTTCATCTCCGCAATCCAACTTTCTGATGGAGGGTCTGGGTAAAGAATCTCTGAGGTCCCAAGCTCTGCTGCCTGGTTGCAGGGTCCTGGTGACCTACGGGATGGGTGTGGGTGTGTGGACTGGTGGCGTCAGCCTTTCAGACATCCGTCCGGATGGGTGACACTGGAGTGCGGACTCCACTGCCACAGTTCCCCTTCAGAACGTTGAAGGTCGGTGTGTTTGTTGACTTTGGAAGTGTGGATTGAAACTTCCAAGACCGTCTCAGATGGCATTGTTCTTTCAGCCCTGGGGTTCCTATCCGATTTGCTAATTGAATGGCATGCAGTATGCCTTTTTCAAACTTTCCATATGTTCAATCACATGCTGAGGAGGTGATGGAGGCCTTGAGCTCTCGCACCTGGCGGCCCATCGATCAGGCACCCAAGGCTGGATGGTGACGTGTTCGGCCGTCGATTCAGAATCACCGCATCCGGAAAGAACAAACGTCCTGAGTCAATGCAAATAGCTTCTAGCTGCTTAGATGCTGCTACGATTGGTGGTGGTTATTGGTATGTCCATGTATTTCCAGGGTTTCTGTTGACCTGGCAGCTCTTAAAGCTGGTCTTCGTGGCTCACAGCTGAGACTAAGATTCCTATGCTATTGGCAGGTCACCTTCGCAGAGAGCACTCTAGCCTCTGCAACAATGCTCTTCCATACGCAGGTGGGGAGAAAGGTCCGCCATGCTTTGTCAACGCATCTTCATTGGTTGGCTCCTCCAATGTGAATCTATTTTGAGATTGGGTCGGAGGGGATTTGAAGTTTTGCGCTTGCATTTATCTTAATTGAATCGGCCAACGGGTCACCGGGTCAAGATGGTTACAGTAAGGTTGTAAGGTTGGAGGCACTTCTGCTTTCCTATGGCTCAGGTTCCACGAAGCTTTTGTCAAGGTAGAAACAACATGAAACAACACTAACTAACTATGCCAAAACAAATCCACCATCAGTGACCACAACATGTAGGTGATTCAAATGGTGAAACGAAAAACGCAATCAAAGTTTGCACTTGGTAAGGACCCCAAGCGGCAGATTTGCATCGTGAGCAGTGGGATGGGCGAGATGCCACCGGAGCTGACGTTCAACCAGGCGCCTCAGATGAACAGCACGCGGTAGTGTGGGCCAAGGGCGGATGAGATCTTGCTGATCTGCAGAGGATGAGGTACTGTATGTAGTGTGGGATCCTCAAAATGCAATCGGTAGCTTTATTGGAGAGTTGGTTTGGATGCGCACTTTGGGAACGTTTTT